GCGGTGACGAGCGTGAGGGTGTCGCGCGGCGACGTGAGGCGCCCCGCCAGCCCCACGGCGCGGTCCAGCTCCACCGCCTCGTGCAGCGCCTGCTTGGCCTTGCCCTCGTGGTGCCCGTGGTCGATGCGGCCGCCTGCGGAGCCGCCCCGCGTCACCGCCCATGGGCGCACCCCAAACCCGCCCATGCGCTCACCCCAAACCCGCCGCTCCTGCCGCTTTTGCGCCCACCTTCCACCAGGAGGAAAAACCCCCGGGGGTTTTTCTGCAGCATGCGGATGGCCACGGCCACCATCTCGCTGAGCGACGGGTCCGTCTCGTTGTTGCGCTCCAGCTCATAGACCATGTCACCGGGCTCGAAGAGACCTTAGAGGGACGAGGGTGGCCGCGTGTCGCCGAGCTCCACGCCGGCGCCGCCCGCCCGCCCGCGACGTGGCTCACCCAGCAGGAAGTCGACCTGGCTCACGTTGAGCGCCAGCAGCTCCCGCCGGTGCCACACGTAGCGGGCGACCTGCGGGGCCGGGGACAGCGCGGTCACCGCGGGGCGACGGTGCGTCCCCGCGGCCGCGGCGCCCGCGTGCCGCTACCTTGCCGGGCGCCTTGCTCTCGCGCCAGGCGCGCACGAGGTCGCGGCGGTCGAGGCGGGTGCCGCGGTGCTTCTCCTCGCCGGGGTACTCCACGTCGCTGGTGTTCTTGGGGAACATGTACTTGCGCCCGCCGCCCAGGATCACCTGCGGGCAGCGCTGTGCCAAAACCCCGGGAACGGCCCCAAGGCCCCGCCCTGGCCACCGCCCGGCACCAAAATATCCCGGAATGAGGGATGCTCCGAGCCGGGGTCCCCGCCTGAAGCCGCCGTCGCCGCGGAGCCCCGTCCCGCGGCGCGCGCTGTTTGCTTTGGAGCGCCGCGGCCGCCTGTATTTATAGCCACCCGGCAGAGATTTCTTTGCCCCCCTCCTTTTTTTTTTTCCTTTTTTTTCTCTGCTACTCGCAGAAGGTGAATTCTGCAAAACAGCAAGGCCAAAATTATTAAGGGTAAGGAAAAAAAAAAGGGGGAAAAAATCCCTCTTCCCCGCTATATAATTATTTCCAGCCTTGGACGGAGTTAAAATTATATTAAAGGGAAAAAAAACATGCGACCAGGCAATTAACCGGCTAAATAACAGGCTTCGCTGTTGGCCTCCAGGGCTATTTTGAAGGACAGAAGGGTACTTATTTGCAAGGCCAGATTTTGGCCGGGGAGGGCAGCCCCACGGGGAGCCCCAGCGCGCGGAGAGGTCGTGGATCCTGCTGCCTGGCAGGGTGATTTTTGGGGGGTCCCGGATTTGTGGCTGTCAGGGCTCTCAATGTCTCCTGGGGGTCCTGGACCAACTCCCATTGCTGCTCCCAGCCCCACATACAGTGGTTCCCAAGCCCACATCTCCTGGAGTGCCCAGACCCATATCCACTGAGGTTCATGGTCCCGAACTTCTGGGGCTGCTGGCCCCACACATTCTGGAGGTCCCAGCCCCATCTCCAGTTCTTGGCCTCAGACTTCTGGGGGTCTCGGCCCCAGATGTTCTGGAGACCCATCTCTCATCTCCTGGAGATCCTAGCCCCACATCCACTGAGGTTCCTGATCCCATATATTCTGGAGGTCCTGGCCCCACATGTTCTGGAGGTCCCATCCCTCACCTCCTGGAGGTCTCATCCCCACATTCCAGTTCCTGGTCCTAAACTCCGGCAGGTCCCATCCCCACATGTCCTGGATGTCCCATCCCTCCTCTCTTGGCATTCCCAGCCCCAATCCCTTCTCCAATCCCAGCCCCACATCCCTCACTGGTCCCTGCCCTCATCCCTGGGGTTCCCCACCCCATATGCCCCCCTGACCCGGCTCCTGGCCAGCGCCACATCTCCCCTTGCTCCAGACCCTCCACCCGCCGGTGGCACCGTCCCTACCTCGATGTCGGGGATGTTCTCCACGAGCTGCCGCGCGATGTCCCTGCAGCCGCCCTGCAGCGCGTCCGGGGGCATCTCGCCGTCCGAGTGCCAGTCGCGGTTGGCCGAGTGGGCGTAGGCGGCGCTGGGCGTCGCGTGGGTCACCCGCGTGGTGGTGACGATGCCCACCGACTTGCCTGGCCCCAAAAACACGTGCCACGGCGCGGCGCAAACCCGCCCTCCGCGCGGCCGGCCACGTGCGCGGGGCACGCGGTTGGCAGCACGGTCCCCGTCTCGGCGCTGCCAAATCCCCTTTGCCCGGGGCCAAAGGGCTGCGGGATGGCGCCGTGCACGTGTCCCCCGCCCCGCGGCGCTCACCGTCGTCCTTAGCCCAGCGCAGGATGGAGGTGACCTCGCGGCCGCGCGTCGTGTTGCACTGGTCGCGGGTGACGCCGGCGCTGACGCCCACCGTGCCCTCGTTGGCCTTGACGCCGCACAGGTAGGCGGTGGCGGTGCCCGCGCTGTCGGGCACCTGCGCGTTCGTGTTGTAGGTCTGGCCGCAGCGGGGGACACACAGGGGACAAAGTGGCTTTTTTTTTCCCCCCCTCGCTGCAAAGCGGCGCTTTTGCAAGCGCGGGATGCCCCGTTCCCACGGAGGAGGAGGAGCAGCAGGAGGAGGAGAAGGACGAGGAGGAGGAGCGGCGGCGGCAGCGGCTGGCACGGTGGCCCCGTCCCGCTGCCTGTGACCCAGTTTGGGGACACGCACCTTGGAAAGGGCCACGTAGGGGAACTTGTCCATCTCGAGCTGGCTCTCCTCGCCCTGGCCGTGCTGCAGCTGCCCCTTGAGGATGCGCGCGGCCGTGACGGTGGAGACGCCCATGCCTGCGGGCGGCGCGCGCGTCACCCCCGTCCCTGTGTCCCTGTCCCCTGGGTGGGTGTCCCCTCCGCAGCGCGAGCGCTCACCGTCGCCGAGGAAGAGGATGAGGTTCTTGGCCACGTTGGTGTTGAGGCGCTGCAGGCGCAGGGCATCGCGCAGCGCCGCCTGCGCCTGCTGCCGCCAGTACTCAGGGTCCTTCTCGTGCTCTGCAAAGCCGGGCTCGGGGCAAAGTCCCCTCGTCTTGGTGCCCCGGGTCCCCGCCCTGTCCCCAAAGCCACCTACCGGGTACCAGCGAGGCCAGGCACAGCGAGGCCGTGAGGGTGAGGACAAGGAGAGCCTTCATCGTGGGCTGGCGCGGGGGGAAACTGAGGCACGGGTGGCTCGTGGGCCTCCTCCACACTGCGCGGAGGGGTCCCTCCCTGTCCCTTGCACGTGGCCCTGGTACGTAGCTATGTCCCTGTGCCCAGTGTCCCTGTCCCCAGTGTGTGTCCCTGGTGCGCGTCCACACCCCTGCTGCATGTCCCTGTCCCTGTTGCACATCTGGGTCCCTGTTGCACCTCCAGTGTAACGTCCCCCTTGAGCTTTCCTGTCCCCTCCACATGCCCGTGTCGCCTGCACAGCTGCTTCCCCATTGCCCCTCGCATCCCACCGCACACGCGTGTCCCCACGTGCACCCGTGTCCCCATCACAGGAGTGTCCCCGCGCGCACCCGTGTCTCCATCACACACCCGTGTCCCCACGCACACCCGTGTCCCCACCACGTGCCCCAGTCCCCATTGTCCCCCGTATCCCCCCGCCCCCGTGTGCCCCATCCCCGTTGCCCCTCTGCCTCCATCCCCATCCTGCTGGGTCCCCCGGGGCGCATCCGTGTCCCTGTCCCGGTCGCTTCCCACATCCCATCCAAGCCGCTGCCGTCCCCGCGTGAGGACGGGACCGCAGACCGGAGCGGGAGGTCCTTACCGCGGGGCCTGGCACAAGGGGGGGGCTTCGCGCGTGGCCACGTCCCCAGGGACTGTCCCGCGTGGGCGCCCGGCGAGGAGGACGGAGCCGGGGCCCCTGCGAGCCCTTAAATCCCCCCGCCCCCCCCCCCCAGCCTTCTCCTCCTCCTCCTCCTCTTCCTCCACCCCCCACCCGCTTGCCAGCAGCGGGGCGGGGGGGGGCGGGGGGGAGACTGGCCCCAAACTGGGCCTGCTGGTGCCCTCTGCCGGGTCCTACTGGGAGCACTGGGAGCACTGGGGGACCCGCCGCGTGGGGCCAGCGCCCCCGGGGCCGCCCCACACGCGAGCTGAGCGCGTCAGGGCTCAGCTGCGCCTGACCCCCCCTCCCCATATCCCCCTTCCCTCCCTCCCACGGTGCTGGTGGGAAGCGGCAATCAAGAGCTCGAGGAAAAGCTCGTCAGGCGGCTCGGCCGCGCTCCCAAAATCCTGGCCAGGAGCGGGGAACGGGCTGCGGATGGGGGGAAAAGGAGGGGACAAAGGACAAAGCGGAGCGCCCTCCGTGCTGGCGCGGCGGGGAGCGGGCGCGCTCGTGTGCCCGCACGCCTGTGTGCGCGCTCGCACCGTCCTCTGCTCGCACACGCGCCTGCACGCGCACAGCCGGGCGCTCAGCTCGCGCACTTGCAGGCGTGGGTGCTTGTGTGTCCGCGTGCGTGCACAGTCACGGGCTTGCACGTGGGCACGCTTGCACGAGCCGGTGCTTGAGTCCTCGCGCGTGTGCCTACGGGCACAGGTGAGTGCTTGTGGCTTGCACAAGGGCACGGCCGTGCGCTTGGGTGCTTGCGTGCAGTGTACCTGCATGACCACGTGTGTGCACTCTTGCACAGTGGTGAGCTTGGGAGCTTGCACGTGTGCAAACACAAGCATGCGCTTTGACACCACTGTGCTCGGATGTGCAAACTTGGGCACACTCGCACCACGCGTGCACAATCACAGGCTTGAGTGCTTGCACACATGCACTTTGCCTTACGTGTGTGCACGGTCGCATGCTGGCAATATCGCGCATTTTGAAGCTCGAATATGTGCACGGTGGCACACTGGCAATGTCGCGCATTTTGAAGCTCGAATAGGTGCATACGTGCATCACCGTGTCCTGGGACGTGTGTGCGTCTGTGTGCTTTGGTGCCTGAGCATGTGCACACTTGCACCGCGGTGTGCTTGGCTGCGTGCGCGCTTGCACAATCACATACTTGCACGCTCACACGCGTGCACTTTTGCCTGCAGGCGTGCACTTCGGCTTGCACACATGCACTTTTGCCCACGCGCGTGCACTTCTCCTCGCGCGCGCGCCCTGGCACGGCGGCGCGCGTGCCCCCGCGGCCCGCCGCGGGACCCCCGGCGCGCGGCCTCCCGAAAGAGTTAAGCGCGGCGCGAGCGCGGCGAGCGCGCAAGCCCGGCCCTCCGCCGGGCCCAGCGGCTTCCGCGGCCCAGGTGCATCCCGCGCTGCGGAGGCCGCGGCGCCCGCGGCGGCACCGGAGCCGCCACCATGGTGAGTGGGTGCCGCGGACCCCCCCGGCCGCCGCGTCCCCCCCTGCCCGGGCTGTCGCGGCCGCTCGGCGCCTTTTGCCCTTTTCCTGCTGTTTTTCTCGGCTGCAGCGCTGGGATTTCTCACATGGGGGCTGCGCGTCCCTGTCCCCCCCCCCCGACACGGTTCCCCCCACTCGTTAGCACCAGGGTCCCCAGTCAACGTCACCCCCTGGATGACTCCTCGGGGTGGGTGCTGCGGGGGGCAGGTGCTGTGGGGTTTGGGTGCTTTAAGGCCAAATGGGTGATTTTGGTGTTTTTGTTGTTGTTGGGTGTTTTTTTGCTTTTTTTTTTTTTCTTTCCCGCGCCTTGGGGTTGGGGGGGCAGCGCCTGGAGCCGCCGTGGCTGAGATGGCGCCCAGAGGCAGCAGGCGGCTCCCGCCCGGACGCCAGGGCCCCCCGGATGCCTGGGCCCCTCACCCCCACGGCACCCCCTTCCCTCCCATCCCCCCCAAAAAAAACGGAGGGGGAAGCAGCTCAGAGGGATGATTCCTGCCCCTTTCAGGGGTTTCTCCTTCTCAGTGTGAATCTTGGGGGGCTCTTTTTATTATCATTATTTTGGGGTGAAAAAGGGGCGCTTTGGCCAAAGTTTCCTGTTTGCAGCACCATCACGGCTCGCGCTGGCCGCGCCGGGGCACAGGGCACCCTTCCCCACGGCAGAGCACCCATGGGTGCCACGGGATGCTCTTCTTGCCCCCCAACCTGGCAGCCCGTGGCGGCAGCAGCCAGTTTTGGGGGAAAGCGGAAGGAAAAAGAGGAAAAAGGAAAATGCGTGGTTTTTTTTTTTGGTCCTTAACTTCCTCCTTCCTCCGGGGCCGCACGCGGGAGGTTCAGGGATTATTTCTCGTTTCTTCTGCTCCCCGTGGAGCTGCCCCACTCCCGGCACCGCAAGGGGCTTCTCTGGTGGCTAATATAGGGTTGTGCCTGGGCCAGCTGCCAGCGACCACCCCCTTTATTTACTCATTCCCCCCACCTTCCGCCCCAGTGCTGGTGTTGTGGGGAGAAGGGCAGTGCCGAGAGTGCCTTTCCGCAGGAAAGCATTGGCTGGAGGCTCCCAGCTCCGGGAATTTGCACTCGGAAGGGGGTGGACTTGGAGCCGGGAGAAGGGGGCGGATTTGCGGGGCGGGAATTTTGCACCCAGGGACGGAGCTTTCGGCCCCGGTGCAGGGAAACAGCAGGAGAAAGCAAGGTGGGGGGGAAGGAAAGGGAGACTTGGGGGTAAAAACGCTCCCGCGGGAGCCCTGCGGCCCTTGTCCCAGCTCGGCCCGCGCCGGATCCCCCTCCCGTCCCGCTTGTTTTCCTCGTTGTGGTTGTGCAAGCGCCCGGGGCTAATTAAAAGCAGGGCCCGGCGGCGGCGCCTCGGCTGAACCGGCGGCTCCGCGCGCGGATTCCGCCCCGGGAAGCAGGAGACGCTGCTCCAAACCCCCCGTGCCCCCCAGGGCCGCGCGGGCACAGGGCGGAGGAGGTTAACGGCGCTGGCGGCGTGTCCGGAGGCGGCGTTATCCCGGCCGGAGCGCCGCGGGAAGTTCCCACCTCAGGGCCTATTGTTCACCCCCGGGCTGAGCCCCGGCGCTGTCGTGACTTGGAGCGGCCTCGGCGGCACCGCGAGCTGCCTTCCCAGCCGCGGTTTTTCCCTCGGTTTTCCTGCTGGGAATGAGCCCTGGAGGGCCGCGGGGGGCAGAGATGTGGTCGGGGCTGGAGCGCGCGAGCGAGCTGGTAGTGTCGGGAGGAAACGCGTGGGGGAAGGAGGGCAGGGCGCCCATTCCCGCCGCGGTCCCGGGGGAGCCGGCGGCTTCCCGACGTGCCGGGCACACGTGCCGCCTTCCTCCTCCTCCTCTTCCTCGGCGCCGGGGACGCTGAGCGCCGTGCTCGCCTTGCAGATGTCGACCTACAAGCGCGCGACGCTGGACGACGAGGACCCCTTGGAGGCCGACGGCGACGGATACCCCAACGGCTTCCAGGTGGGATCTGCTCCCAGCGGCGGCTTTCGGAGCAGGGCTTCCCGCGGGAGCCGCGGCGCTCCGGGGGCAAAGTCCCCTCTGGATGGCGCCGGCAGGTCCCCGCGCGCTGCCCTTTGCTCCCTGGGATGTGAAACTCCCCCAAATGTGAAGGGGATCCCGGGCCAGAGAGCCTGTGCCATCGGGGAGCCTTTTCCGAGCAATTACGGCTCCGCTGGGAGCTTTGTCCCGGCATAAAGGTGGGATTAGGCTAAGCCGGGCGCGTTGCCGCCCGCGTGGCAGGGGAGCCGCTTTGAAAGCAGCGGGAAAGCTGGGCTTGCGCCGGAGCATCCAGCCCTTCGGAGCCGCACTGGCACCGGGAGTTTGGGAAAGGATTTTTCTGCCTCAAATCCAGCCCCTTTGCTCCCAATGAGGCTTAATTTGGGGAAAATCAGAGCGCTCCTGCTTTTCCCGTTTCCCGCTGGATCAGGGAGCCGAACCGGCACTCCTACCACCTCTTTAAGCATCTCCATTCGGGCCGCCTTTCAGCAGCACCACGCTTTTCCAAGCAGGCGGCAGCTCCGCGTTTCCTCCCATTGTGCCACCCTTCCTGGCAGGATCCCTGGCCTCCCTCCCAGCCGGGATCGGGCTGGGATGGACCCTTGCGGTGGGCACGCTGGCTGGCTGCGATCTCCCCGGCATGGGAGCACACCGGGAGGGTTCCCAGGGGGAAAAAGCCTCTTTTCATCCCTAATCCCCGCCCTGCTCCCGCCGCAGGTGAACTTCCGAAGCGCGCGGAGCGGCGCGGGCTGCTGGTCGGAGCGCACGCGCCTGGAGAAGCAGCTGGTGGTGCTGGCGGCGGCGCTGGCCGCCGTGCTGGCCGCCTGCCTGCTTGGCATCGTCTTCCAGTACCGAGCCCGTGAGTCCGGCACCGCGCGCAGGCGGCGAGGCGTGGATGGAGGGATGGATGGAGGGATGGATGGAGGGATGGATGGAGGGATGGATGACACGGAGCTGGCGCCGCCGCAGGGCCGCCCGCCGTGTGCCTGTCGGAAGCGTGCGTGTCGGTGACCAGCGCCATCCTGAGCTCGCTGGACCGCGCCGTGGATCCGTGCGAGGATTTCTTCGGCTACGCCTGCGGAGGCTGGATCCGGGGCAACCCGCTGCCCGACGGCCACTCGCGCTGGGGCACCTTCAACAACCTCTGGGAGCACAACCAGGCCGTCATGAAGCACCTGCTGGGTGAGCGGCGCTGCGGAGCGCGGGGCACCCGGATCGGGAGCACGGGAAAGTCGCCCTCCGGGAATGCAAGGATGGGATTGAGGGCCTGGGGAAATCGCGGGAAAATCTCCCTCTAGGGGTGCACGGATGGGATTGAGGGCCTGGGGAACTCCGAATCAGGGGAAAATCTACCTTTGGGGACGCAAGGAAGGGGTTGAGGGTTCATGAGTCCCATGGACCATGGGAAAATCTCCTTTTGAGGGGGCAAGGATGGGGTAGAAGGATTGCAGATCCCCTGGACCACAGGAAAATCTCCCTCTGGGGCTGCAAGGATGGGATTGAAGGATCAGTGTCCCCAGATCATGGAAAAATCTCCTTCTGGGGATGCAAAGATGGGATTGAGGGATCAAGGTCCCCCGGACTGCAGGAAAATGACCCTCTGGGGATGCAAGGACAGACTCGAGGGCTCCCACGTGGAGCCGGGGGCTGTAGGAAAAGCGAGCAGGGAGGAAGCGCGTCTTGTTTTGGTTCCCTTATGTGGCTCCGTGGCAGGGAGGGAGGTGGGGATGGAGCCGGGGCTGCCGGGCCGGGCGCCGCTGCGAGCCGGGCGCCTCGCGCAGAGAACGCCACGGCCAACGTGTCGAGCGAGGCGGAGCGCAAGGCGCAGCGCTACTACCGCGCCTGCATGAACGAGAGCAAGATCGAGGAGCTGCGCGCCGCGCCGCTCGCCGAGCTCATCCGCAAGGTGCGTGCGCGCTGCTCGCCGCCGGCGCGCCGGGCGGCTCCGGCGGCGGGAGCTTCACGCGGGGATCCCGCCGCAGCTCGGCGGCTGGAACGTCACGGGCGCCTGGTCCGGCGGCGACTTCAACGCGACGCTGCGGGAGGTGACGGCGCACTACCGCACGTCGCCCTTCTTCTCCGTCTACGTCAGCGCCGACTCCAAGAACTCCAACAGCAACGTCATCCAGGTGGAGCGTGCGCGGCGGCGCGCGGCGGCGCCGGGCCCCGCGCGGCCGCTGAGCGGCACCGTCCCCGTCCCCTCCGCAGGTCGACCAGTCGGGCTTGGGGCTGCCGTCCCGCGACTACTACCTGAACAAGACGGAGAACGAGAAGGTGAGGGTGGCCTTCCTAGGATGCGCCTTTTTCCGCTTTCCGATGTGTTTTTGAGGTCAGCGGGATGGCACCGGCCGCGCTGACCCCCTTGGCGCCGCGCAGGTGCTCGCCGGCTACCTGGACTACATGGTGGAGCTGGCCACCTTCCTGGGCGGCACCGACGAGGCCTCCACGCGGCAGCAGATGCAGCAGATCCTGGACTTCGAGACGGCGCTGGCCAACATCACCATCCCGCAGGAGAAGCACCGCGACGAGGAGCTCATCTACCACAAGATGACGGCCGGAGACCTCAAGGTAGGCGAGCGTTCATCTCACCATCATTTCGGGGCCAAAACACCTCAAAGCGGAGGCTGAAGCGAGCGCGTCCGCAGGCACTGGCGCCGGCCGTGGACTGGCTGCCCTTCTTGGCCACCGTCTTCTACCCCGTGGAGCTCAACGAGTCGGAGCCCGTGGTGGTCTACGCCAAGGAGTACCTGGAGCAGGTCTCCGAGCTCATCCTCGCCACGGACAAATGGTGAGAAGCCCCGTGGGCGACGCGCTGGCCGCCGGCCCCGCCGCTCACCGCCCCACCTTGCGCCGCAGCCTCCTGCACAACTACATGATCTGGAACCTGGTGCGGAAAACCAGCCCCTTCCTCGACCAGCGCTTCCAGGACGCCGAGGAGAAGTTCATGGAGGTGATGTACGGGACGAAGAAGGTGAGCACCACCAGCGCCCCGAGCTGTGGTTTTCCTACGTGTATTTTAATCCCAGCCGTGAGGTTTCATCCTTCCTGGCGCTCTTGCAAAGTCCCCACCACGGTGCATGGGAGGCCGGGCAGGTTTTGCGGTCCCAAAACTTGCGTCTTCCTGGGGCTGATGATGGGTTTCTCTCCCCACGCAGACTTGCCTCCCACGCTGGAAGTTCTGTATCAGTGACACGGACAACAACCTGGGCTTCGCCCTGGGGGCCATGTTCGTCAAGGCCACCTTTGCCGAGGACAGCAAGCAAGTGGTAGGTGCCCCAGATGCGTCCCCACGGGAGGAGGATTTGGGGGCTCCCTGTTCCTGACACAGCTTTCGCCCAGGCGGAGGAGATGATCGCTGAGATCAAGACGGCCTTCGAGGAGAGCCTGGAGACGCTGCAGTGGATGGATGATGAGACCAGGAAATCAGCCAAGGAGAAGGTGAGGGATGGCGGTGCAGCTGGGCACTGTTCCCATCCCATCCTGCGCTCCGCCAAAGGCACCTCCGTGTTCTCCTCCAGGCAGATGCCATCTACAACATGATCGGCTACCCCAAGTTCATCATGGACCCCAAGGAGCTGGATAAAGTGTTCAACGATGTGAGTTGCTCTGCTGGACACCAGGTTGAGGTGCCACGGCCACCCTGCCGTGCCCGTGGGTCACCGCCCGCCTTGCTCTCTCTTGCAGTACGAGGCCGTGTCCGACCTCTACTTCGAGAACGTCATGCAGTTTTACAACTTCTCGGCCAGAGTCACTGCCGACCAGCTCCGGAAACCGCCCAACCGGGACCAGTAAGTCCCCGCCACCGCCACAAGCCCACGACGCCACTTCCCCTTGGTGGCCAGCAGGAACATCTCAAAGTCTTCTTGGTGGAGGGCTGCGATTTGGCCACGCGGGGCAAGTCCTCCCTGATGGTTTCCAGGCGTTGGGATGGTTTTGGAGAGGCAGTTACATGGCGGGAGAGCAGCTTTCCGTTGAGCTATCGCGGCACAGGTAGAGCCAGCGCCAACCCAGGTCCTCCTGTGCTGCAGGTGGAGCATGACGCCGCCGACGGTCAACGCGTACTACTCGCCCACCAAGAACGAGATCGTCTTCCCTGCCGGGATCCTCCAGGCCCCGTTTTACACCCGTGCCTCTCCCAAGTAAGAGCTGGCGGCGCCGTGGGAAAAGAGCTGGGCTGGGAAAACTCAATTCCCAAACTTCCGCTTGTTCCTGGGCCTGGCAGGGAGCTGCTTGCCCCAGCTGGATGGGACTGCGGGTTTCACTTTGGAATTCTGAAGCCCAATGTCACCCTCTTGCAGGTCACTGAACTTTGGTGGCATTGGCGTGGTGGTGGGCCACGAGCTGACACATGCCTTTGATGACCAAGGTAAGACCAGCACGGTTGGCTATGGTGGTGGTGGAGGAGCTGGTCACCAGCTCTTTGCCAACGGTCCCATTCCTCCCAGGTCGGGAATATGACAAGGATGGTAACCTGCGGCCGTGGTGGAAGAACTCCTCGGTGGAGGCCTTCAAGAGGCAGACGGAGTGCATGGTGGAGCAGTACAGCAACTACAGCGTCAACGGCGAGGCCGTCAACGGCAAGCACACGCTGGGAGAGAACATCGCCGACAACGGGGGCCTCAAGGCCGCCTACCGGGTAGGATGGCAGGCTGGGGTGGTGTGGCATGGGGTGGGGTGTGGTGGCCCTGACACCGCTCTTCTGCCTGTCCTCCAGGCCTACCAAAACTGGCTGAAAAGGAACGGCGAGGAGGAAACGCTCCCCACCCTCGGCCTCACCAACCACCAGCTCTTCTTCGTGGGCTTCGCACAGGTGGGTTGCCATGATGCCAAGGGGTGTGAGATGGATTGAAGGGGTTTCCTTGGGAGAGAAAGTGAGATGTTTGCACCTACGATGCCTCCAAAGATGCCACGTGGTGGCTGTTTGTGGATGAGCTTGTGGGTGGTGATGGGCAGCTCATGGTCACGCTTGGGTGGTAGTGGTTGTGGGTGGCTTAGCATGTACGCGGGTCTCGATGGCGATGGCTCTTGGGTGCTCTGGGTAGTGGTGGCGGCTCATGGATGAGGTGGGTATTAGTGGTGTGTCCGTGTGGATGAGTTTAGATGGTGGTGGTGGTTTGGTGACTCACGGGCGAGCTGGGTGGTGGTGGTGGTTTGGTGACTCACGGGCGAGCTGGGTGGTGGTGGTGTGGACCTATGGGTGAAATGGGCAGCGGTGGTGGCTCCTCATGGGCAAGCTGGGTGGCGGTGGCGGCTCGTAGCCAAGCCGGGTAGCAGCGGCGGCGCTGGCGAAGCCGAAGCTGGAGCCGCCCGTCTCCCGCGTGCCGCAGGTGTGGTGCTCGGTGCGCACGCCCGAGAGCTCGCACGAGGGGCTCATCACCGACCCGCACAGCCCCTCGCGCTACCGCGTCATCGGCACCGTCTCCAACTCGCGCGAGTTCGCCCACCACTTCGCTTGCCCGCCCGGCTCCCCCATGAACCCCCCCAAGAAGTGCGAGGTGTGGTGAGGGGCGCGCGCCCGGGCCGCCGTCCCCGCGCGCCCCCGTCCTTCCCCGAGGCTCAAAACCACTGCTCCGTGCAACGAGCTGCCCGGTGCTCAGCCGGCGCGGCGCCCGCGGTTCGGCCCACTGTGAAACGCCCTCTCCTCGCTCCCGCAGTGACTCTGAGCTCTATTTTTTTGTATGTTTTTCCCTGTTCCAACACGACCAGGCACCCGCGCAGCAAAGACAGCGGGGCTGGAAAGCATCGAAAGCATCTCAAGATATATTTTTTTTTTTGGAAAGCAGGGCGGGAGGGAAATATTTTTCTAGCATTGTGGAATACACTGGAAGAGTTCAGGGACAGCACATTTTAAAAGTTTTTTTTTTTTTTTTTAAAAAAAGGATTAGTATATTTATTGCTTTATTTTTTCTAAGAGCCGTGGCCTCTGCCATGGGAAGCCCCGAACGCAGCCCCCGCAGCCCCGTTTTCCCCGGAGGACCGTCCTGGGAAGCCGCTGATGGGGAAAGCGGGGCCGGGGGGCCGGATGCCGGCTGGCTCGGAGCAAGGCTTAGCTTTAAATTCCGAGGGAAAAGGGAAGGGACCGATGTGCCAAAGAGCGCTCCCGCTCCGTGCCCGCTTCCCTGGCAGGCTCCTTTCTTTATCTATTTTTTTATTTTGAATTTTTATTTCATGGCAAAACCCCTTCGCCCACGAGAGCTGCAAGCCCCAAAATGGGGGGGCTTGGGGGTGCATTACTGTCTCCTCCGTGGACAAGGGGCTTCCCGGGGGGCTTTAATGCTCTTCCTGCAGTTTTTTGGGGGAAGAAACCACTGCTTTGCAGTGGCGCCGAGGGTTTTTTTTTTTAATATTTATATGTAAAAGCAGAGATGGAGGGGGGGGAACTTTTTTGTATCTATTTTTTCATCTTTCAGTGTGAGGCTCCTTGTAATTGAAATAAATCCTTTCTACCGGTCCGAGGCTGGTTCCGAGGTGGCTTTGCTAAGCGCCGGAGCCGCGAGTGTCCGTGTGTCCGTTCGTCTCAGTACTGCCCGGTCCCTACGGAGCAGTCCGGCCCTGCCTTAAAGGGCGACTGGGAGCAGCGAGGGAGCTTCTTTCGGGGAAAAACAAGGGAATGTGGAGGAGGCGGCGGAGGAGCCAGGGCGGCGGGATGGAGCTGTGGCTGCCAGGAGCCCGCAGAGGGCGGTGGAGCCGAGGAAATCCCGGAGCGGGCGGGAAGCGGGGCCTGGCATGCAGGAGAAGGCTCCGAGCGGGATGTTTTTGCTTTATTTTCCTTTATTTTTTTTTCCCCCCGGAAACCGCTGTCTCTCCGTGCTGGGGCGGCTGGTGGTCGCCCAAGCTGCAGGTTTGTGGTTGGCCATGTTGTCCCATGTGGTTGGCCCTGCGCTTGGAGAGGTGGTGGTGACAAGGGGTGACAAGTGGGGGGTGTGGGGACACGGGGAGAGCCCTGGCACCCCATGCTTGGCGCTGAGGGTCTCATTCCCTCAGGGCTGGGTGTCACCTCACGACCAGGAGCCACCTCGGGGCTACGTGTCTCCTCATGGTCATAGAGCCACTCGGAGCGAGGTGTCATCTCAAGGCCACGTATGAGCCCGGGTGTCCCCGGGTGTCCCCACAAGGCCCCGTGTTCCCTTGGGTACAGGCGTCCCCCCACCTCGGGTCCTCCCTTCCCTGTCTCCCCTTCGGGCCCCGTGTTCCCGCCCAGCCGCCGAGTGTTTCCGACACCTTTCGGAAATGCCCGAAGCTGCCAGGTCCGAGCGGTTCCGGAAAGACCCGAGCGCACCCCCCAACCCCTCCCCGACCGGGAGGGGGGAGGGGGGAATCGAGCCTTGCCGAAGATTCCCGAGCGCCTTCGCGCCACCGGTCTCCGGAGCGAGCCGAAATTTCCCGAGCGCTCGCCGGGGGGTCACGGGAGGCGGCGGGTGAGGGCGGAGAGAGAGCGCGTCCGCGAAGGAGTCCGGGAGGAGCCGAAGTTTCCCGAGAGCGGCTCTGGGGCGAGCAGCACCGGAAAGAGCCGAAGGTTGCCGAGCGCCGGTGGGCCGAGCGGCTCCGGAGCGGCCCGAAGGCGCCCGAGCGTCCGTCCTGCCGGACTGCTGGAGGCGGCCGCAGCGCCATGTTTGATGCTCCGCTACTCCAGTGAGGAAAATCCGCCGGCATCGCCCGAGAGCCGCCACCGCGACGGGCGCCGAGGGCGACCGAGACCCCCCCCCTGCCGCCGCCGCCGCCTCATGAGCAGCGCGGCCTGAGCCGCCGCCTCCCCCCCTCCCCTCCCCGCCGGCCCC